CTGATCATTTATGTATACATTTGTCTATATCTATCTCGATTCGTTTTGCCTGTTACAAACAACCGTTATGTGAACAAAGTTATAATACCCTTGTGCACAAGTGCGCTCGGGTATAAAAATAAATACATACATATGTACATTACATTCATTCCTTAGCTGATCCTTATGTGAGAAAACTTTTATAAAAATAAAATACATAAACAATATTTAAGCACGTTAAAGTTTCAATTAAAACAAAGTAATGTTTCCATTTAAAACATGAATTTTTCGGTGTTTATAGGTCAACTCAGAACTCCATAATACCGACACCTGAATGGAAGATCGACCTACCTCGGCAGCCAGTTAGAAAACGCCCTATCGCAGAAAACTTTTCAAAAACGCACTATTTCATAACTTGGTTGATGAACGGTCCATCTCAGAATTTGGTTGAAGAACGCCTTATCCCTGAATTCGGTTCAAAAACGCCCTATCTCGGCACATACACGTTCTATATATTTTCAGTTGACCTAAAATTCTGAAGTAGGGCGTTCTTGAAAAGTTTTCTGAGATAGGGAGTTTTCGAACTGGCTTCCGAGGTAGCTGGAATTTCCACTGAGGTATCGATATGTACTTACACAAACCGAATTTCAAGTCGGTAGCAACAAAAACAACGAAGTTTATGTAGTCGGTTATATGGCGGCTATGTATGTATAAGGGTTGTTGCGAATATTCGCATTCGCATTCGTATCCGCGGATGTCTAAAATTCCACATTCGCAACATCCCTAGTATGTATATGATATACAGTGCCTTGAACCATAAAAAATTGGTAGGTCAACTCAGAACTCCATAATACGTACACAGGCCGAATTTGGGGCTAATATCTTTAGATTTAGACAGTATGCAGTTCGCTTTTCGGTTCTTGTAAGAACCGGACCGCTCGGTTCTTTAACCCTTAATTAGGCGCATGGGGTCAAGGACATTTCAATTTGAAAAAAAAATGTCTTGGAGTGCTTGGAGTGTCATACACATGGATGACGCTACTCGGGTGAAAGGAGACTTTGACTGGGTATGCATGGTTGGACAAGCAAAGCAAGGCCATCAACGAGCACAATGGAAAAATCAAGTGCAGAAGTACCTTTCTGCTTTTGGGGAACTTCGCAAAACAGAGGGGCAATTGGTGAAATTTTTTGGTCTCAGCCCGAACCGGAAAACGGTTGAAGTACCAAATAAAAAGAAGAAGCAAGAAGTAGGTCATTAGCCTTCCCAAATCAAGTTTGGCGGTCGTTTTTTTGATTTTTTTCTCAAAATTTAGGTAACTAGCAAACCTTTTATTTGTAGAATTTCGAGAAAGCAGCTCATGAAGTTTTAGGACCTGAAATATTTAATCAGAGCTCAACGGACATACCTATACTTAAAAACTTACCCAAATAGTATACCTCTGTAACACTTTTCGAGAATCGTTAAATACAGAGGTTTACGATTTATAATTTCAGTTAAAATTCACCAAGTATTTTATCTGATAATTAAATATGTACTTATCATTAATTATAATTAAAACATTAATTATTCCTTAATATGCCACTTGGGCACATGCAGTCATGCATACATGCATAAATATGAAGTAATCGCGAAAGATCCTCATTCACTTAAGCGACTCTGATCATCATGGTAAATGTCACTTTATGAAGACATAAGATACGCATATCAAAATAATACTTTTTTCTTTTACTACACAAAAAATTGTTTATTTACTTGTCCCCCACAACAACACAAAAACATTAATAATTTACAACAAAGTCAAAGCGAAACCACATGTTGCAACTTATTATTAATTGCAAGCAAATATCGGCTGCAAAAATTACGAATACAAAACGTATAAACACTCTTGCCCCCGCAACCAAAATACACCAAAACAATTCGATATTTTAAGACCTTGCAGCAAAAAATAAAAAATAAATAAAAAAGGTGAAAAATGCGCACAACACAATTTTTCATGAATTTATCACCAATGAAAGGATCTGCGTGAGAGTAAGGCAACGTAAACAATGCCACCGGCAAAAGGCCAAGCATGCAGCAACTACGACAGCACTGCACAACCTGACGACCGCACAGCCACACAGCACTGCTGATCGCACTTGCAGTGCACAACACAATAATCAGCGTGTTGCAAGTGAAAGTCGAAATGTCAAAGCAATTGCGCGAAACGCGGAGCAATTTTGCAATGGCCGTGTAACCCTGGTGTGCGCGCGTCTGCTTGTGGTATGGCGCGGTGCAAAAAGTGGGCGTGTGCCGTGCGCGCACCATATGTATGTACATATATACAACTTTGTGTTTGCGTGACGTTAATTAATGTGGCGATTTCGATTTCATTTATTCGGCTGCCACTGTTGTTGTTGCTGCTTTTGCTGCGGTTTCTTGTAATTTGCAGTTGCCAATGCAAGGAGTAGCTTTGGTAACGTGCGAGACTGGGGTCTTCTTCTTCTATAGAAAGCAAAAATGCCGAGAAGTTGATAGCTGTCAGCCCAAAATCGTTAGCCGCCCGCTGATTTACGGTAATTGCTGCTTTGCGTCTATCGAAGATGGGTGCGATTTTGGATACGACAACGGAGCGACAGCAATCGTGGCTACAAGTGCAAAATTATGCAATTATTTTGGTTCTTTATACCTTTTCAGTTTTCTTTTTGGTTCTGTTTCTCTTTTCATTTTGTGCGCGTCGATGTTAACACATCGCTTTTGTTTACAGACGCACATATATAAATTGATTATTCTCGCAATATTCCGCATGCAACTGAAGTTCTAATGATCGAGGTTTTTGTGGCATTTCGTTGTTGATGCGATTTTATGCTTTGATCACTGTGACATATGGTGTTTCTGTTTTTCTTTCTTCAGTTTTCAAAACAAGCATTTGATCTAAACGCTCGTTTATCGAACGATTAAACATCAAATGAGAAAAAAACTCGTTTTTGTCCATTCGTACGACATGGCCAAGCTAGAGGAGCCGCTGTATCGCACCATCGTTTACGCTATTTACCGTCGCCAACGCGGAGCCTTTCTATCGAATATTCCTCATCGAATTGTCATTGATGGCCTTAAAACCTTCCGTAAGTCGCATAACTTTCTGATCAAATTTCGGGAGTTTTTCCTGTCGACCAGCGCTACAAGCTCTTCTTATTTCTTTTTTTACGGCAACGATCGAAAAATGACTCTGAAGATGGCACAAAGCCGAAACCGGTTTGTGTGCAGACCAAACTTGAGAAGGGATGACGGAAATTCGTTCCAAAATAAAAGGAAATATGTTCTCTTCGGCTCCCAATACTGATGCCACATACATAGCTCGCGTTGTGCCCATCCTCAGGTAGCCCTGCAGGCGGCACCTTTTTTCTGGTGACGAAGGTCGTCATATTTTGAGTCCCTACAATGTCAATCAGCCTCTATTTGCTATCGAAAGATTCGTTATAGAGGTTGAATTTTCCAATCCTATTCTTCTTCCTCCTGACATTGAAAGCGCTTAGCACGTTTTTGATATCATTAGGCGCAGCGCCGAGTTAGTCCGGATCAACGCTGCCGTCTGTTTAAGCATTCATTTAGAAGAGATCTTTGGACAACTCGCCTTTTTCTTCACTCTGGGTTTGGGCGCAAATTAATTAATTATTGCGGATTAGGGCGAGGCACTTGTCCACTGGGGTCAACGACAGTACTTAACACCGCAGTCTCTTTCATCGCAGAATCCAACATCTTTCTATATGGCAGCTGTATACTACGCAGGTCCTACGTGGTTTTTGCTTCTCCACCCTCATCGCAGTTCTTGGGTGGCGGTCACCTCAGCCTTATCCAACAACCATTCGGGCCAAGGCACTTCTTTGTTATTATTTCGGACATTCTAAGTCAGAATCATATGAACTTCTCCGTGGTTGTCAGCCAAAATACTGCTTTTGCGCTTTTTATTAGGTTAGTTAATTAAAAAAGTTGTGTGTTGATCCCTCTGCATAATGATGAACAATTATCTTAATCTTAATTTTAATCTTAATCTTAATCTCAATCTTTATCTGAATCTTAATTATAATTTTAATCTTAGTTTTAATCCTAATTTTAACCTTTATCCTAATCTTAATCTTAATCGTAATCTAAATCTTAATCATCATTTTAATCCTAATTCTAATCTTACTAATCTCATTCTTAATCTTAATCCTAATTTTAATCTTAACCTTTATCCTAATTTTAATAATTGCAATCTTAGTCTTCATCCTAATCTCAATCTCAATTTTATTTTTAATCTTAATCTTAATCCTTATCTTATTCTAAATTTTAACCTGTTGACCTTTGCAACAATACCTACTTTTCCCAAAGTCCTCCACTGGGTTAATCATGTATCTCGTAAACGAATCACTTGTATGTTGATGTACCACATTTCGTGCCATATTGTGTAGCATACAACGGGGCTGACAAAAGACCTATTATAGTTTCGAAATTGCATCTTTGAAATAAATGATTAGGTGGGTCAAATCAAATTCCACCTACAACTAATTGTTTTCTTGGTCTACTTTTGAAATTTTGTAATAGTTTTCATTTCTTCAGTCCAGTAATAAGTAAGCAGACCAAACTTTATGACTAATAAAAATATTTTTTAATATTTTTCCCGAAAATAAAGCATGAACTGGAAATTTGGAGGGCGCTACAAGTACGTGTTTTTTAAGCTTCACTGTTTTCTTCTAAACATAAATTTTTTACAAAAACAACTTTCTGCATGTGAAAATATAAATTTCTTCTCATATTCATTTCCGTAGAAATTACATGTAGAGCAAAAAACTGCGCGTAAATGGAATAATTTTTGTTACCATTATTTTTTTCGACATTCGAAAGATTTATCAGCTCCTCGCTTTCATGACAATTGATATGACGCTACTGGAAATTAAGCATGTTTTAAGATTTTTTTTTTTTGTTTAAAAGTTACTTTCACAGTAATTACTTCGAGAAAATCAAATAATCTATAATTAAATAATAAAATTTGTTTTCTTTTCAGGCACGTTTCTGGGTCCAAGTGATCGATGAGCTGCGACGTGGCGTTCGTCTGAAGAAGAACAACTACTCACGCACACCGATAGAGTACGAGTTGACTCCCTATGAGATTCTTATGGAGGACATTCGTTCTAAGTAAGGACGACTTCTTTTTTATGTGTATTGTTTGTAGCCAGTACGGATTTCGAGAAACTATTCCTTATTTTCCGAAAAAGTACTTAGAGTTGGCGGTTTTAGGAAATTTAAATATTCAACTTCCAAGTGCCAACCGCTGGTAGACAGGAGGTTAAGCCTTTCGAAATTATGCGACTTAGCACTTAATTAGCAAAAATAATTTTTTCTTTCCTATTACCTTTCGCAATTTGAACCCCAATATTGCCTCCACTCCGCCTCTCCCACAATCGCATTGGCAAACTGCTAAATTATTAATGACCGCAAAAAATAACTTTCAACTGCCCTCTACAAACAATTTCTGTCTATTTTTCATCGATTGCTTCTTTTTTGTAATTTTATCTCTAGAAAGTACCAACTGCGCAAGGTAATGGTGAATGGCGATATTCCGCCGCGTGTGAAGAAAGATGCCCACGCTTTGATATTGGAGTTCATTAGGTCACGGCCGCCACTCAAAAAGGTACGTATGTATGTATGCTTGTGTTGAATGCAGGAGTTGCCCTTACTCCACACTTCTAACAATTATCTTAAAATGATTCCTGAACTACTCAACAATTTCACTGTACATTTTGGCACAGTTGTGGTTTTAAGTAGTTATTGGTTTTTTCCTTTGCTTGTTTGTTGGATAAGAAAAGAAAAGTTGTATTTATTTTGGAGTATCATTGTTGTTGGTTTTGCTGAAAAGTGTTAAGTGGCCAATTTTCGTTGCACTTTCTTGTGGTAATTGCAAGTAATCGCAATGGCAATACAGTAAAAGTAAATACTAAGCAAATGTACAGTACAACAAAAGGGAGCCTTTCTTATTTTCATGGATGTGTATATGTGTATGGGTTTGTCTGTGCTCCTTTAAATGTATGCCAACGTAAACCAAAGCCAAAATTAAATGTGCATAAATAATTCACATTTTGTGGGTTAGTTGAGTAGCTAATCGACATCGGCACTGGTACCCAATTAGCGCATAGATCGTGATGTTGATCCGTTTTAATGCAGAGTTGTGGATTAGATCCCCTTAAAGTCTTCGCTCGTTAAAGTTCGTTGTTTTTGTTTTAGTGACCAGTTACCAAACCCTGCCGAAGTCTTTGAGGCTATCGTTAGAAACGTTTTGATTATACGTACATAGTTGCTTTATAGGAAGGGAAGTGTAAAATTACAAAACCTTAATGAATATGTAGATGGGCACTTATTATTTTACGGAGGATATTCTCATATAGAGCAACAATGTGTTCGATATTTTGGAATAAATTTGGAACAAATAAGAGGTCAGCGTGCTCAAATGTCTACAACGAATTTGTATTAGATATAACAATATTAAATTTTGCACAATTTGAAGAAAATTAAAAAAGAGTAGTCACATTCGATAGAGAACATTCCGAAGAACATTTTCCCAGTCCCTCTCACCTTTCTAACTTCCGTTGACCGCAATTATAGTATTCTCATGCTGCGTATAAATTAACTTTCGCTCTCTGGAAAGATCGTGGCGCTTCACAGTGTTTCGACTACATGGAGGCAGGTGGAAATAACAGTAAACCTGCACCGATTTCTCTGAAACTTGACATGTGCTCTAATTTTACTTAGAAATAGAGAATTATGAAATTTTGTAAAGATGGAAGAATTGCCACGCCCTCTACTCTTGTGGGCGGAAACATTAATTTTCATCTGATTTCGTTGAAATTTTGTTTGTATTCTTTATTTTATTAGAAAAACCTAAATATAAAATATGGGGAAGATTGGATCACTATAATGTCCAAAACTCACGAAAAATATGGGCCCAGTCATTAATTGCGGCGGACGTTTGGTAAATTTTTGTTTCCTACTTTCCACTCTCAGAAAACAAAGGTTATACTTAATGTGACCAACCGTACTTCTTTCGGAAGTACAGTACTTCTTTTTGCGCTCTTGTACTTCGTACTTCGAAGTACAGTCAAATGTACGTCTTTGCGATACTTTGTACTTCAGGAGGGAGAATTTGTAACTAGTTGGCGACAATTTTCGGATCGCTATCGCACTTTTCTTCGTCTTTTATTTGGATGAGGTCGATGGGTTCAGGATTATGGCAGCCCTACAATACGAGCACTCCATAAGGTGGTGTTCTCTCTCCCCTGCTCTGGATAGCGGTTGTAAACGACCTTCTAGAGAAACTGGAAAAAGTGGGCTGTCGGGTGATCGCCTATGTTGATGATGTGCGGCGGCTGTCGTGGGAGCCTAACCTTGAGGAAAGGGTAAGAAAGGTGTCGGTTGCCTGGTACTGCTGTAGAGGAGCTATCGGTAAAAAGTGAGGTCTCTCGCCCAAATTAATTCTTTAGCTCTAGGAAACCAGATTTAAGCCTATATTGTTTCAAGGAGCCCTTGTCTGGTAGAACTCACTAGAGAAAGCTACACTTGTAAAATAGGAATTAGTGGAGCATTAGAAACCAGACTTATAGTGGCGCTTAACATTCATATGTCGAACACGGCGCCTGCGGATATTGCAGACAGAATTATCGCAGCACGAACTGCTATTGGGCTAAGGAAAACCGGGTTCTTTTGTGACATAAAAAAGTAAAAGAAGACGTTTATCTGCTGCAGCAAATATTTTTATAGGCCACTTTAAAACACGTTACCTCTCAAGGGCTAGTGTGGGGGGTTCTGACAGGTAATTGTGCGATTGGTATTCATGCGGCGAGACTAGGAATTTCAACTGATCCTTTTTTATCAGCTGTCAAGAGGTAAATGATGTGGAATCATCTCCACACTTTCTTTTGAAATGTCCAACCTTCGCGAGGCTAAGATGGAAGCATTTTGGCTCGCACTTCTGAACAAACACTGAGCTCGCAGCGATCAAATCGGCTCGCGATGTTAACTTAACACAACCTAACCTGTACTTCTTTGAGCTATGAATTAGTTGGTCACATTAGTTATACTTACGGTGACCATCCGTTCTGTTTTTTGCAGGACCGTACTGTTATTTAAAGGTCTGTCCTGCGTAGTTTTTCAAAACAGAAAACCCCCAAAATGTACTGATTTTTTCCAAGTGTCCGGCCTTTGTCCCGCATTTTCTTCGATATTTTAAAATTAACTTTTCCTAATCGAAATAAAAGCAGTGTCGATAACTAATTGATAACTATGTACATAAGGGTAAGCTGGTTTTGAAGGTTCAACTAGTCAATGCGTTCTAAATATTGTACGGTTATGGACAAGAGATGACGAGAAATTGAAGACCAGCATCAAATATATCGATAACACTGTTCTACAAATTTTGTGGTAATCGCTTAAGAAAAAAAATATTTTCCAAGCCAATTTTCTTTTCAAACAAGCGTTTTCGTAATTTTTTCGAAAAACGTGTTTTTGGTACATTTCGGACCTATTCGTCAATATCTCATGAAAAAAATTATCCGATCAACATAAGCGACCTACAGTCCTCTTACAAAAATATATTACTTTGCCAATTTCGAAGAAAATTATTAGTGTTACAAGCGACCAAAATCGAAAAATTGAAATTACAATCATTTTCTTTTTACAGTAAATGAAAATCTGATGAGAAATTTAGATGTTACGGAACACAATCTGCACAAAAAATATATATTATTGCAAAGAGCCCATCAATACCTTTCGAACTGTTGGTCGTTTCATGAAATATTGAGGAATAATTGAAAAAGTACTAAAAATACGTTTTCGAACAAATCTCGAAAACACTTCTTTGAAACCATGGGTATTTTTTTCGTGTTCAACGACCCAAAGTTTGCCTAAAAATTTGCTTTACAGAGGTTCATATTTCGTGTAAAGTAATACGTAATATGCCTTATTATGATTTTGTAAATATTCATTACTAACGGATTAATACCAATGAAGCAAATGTGATTTATGTTAAAAGTTTAAAATTGGATTAATAATTGAGAAATATACACTCTTGGTTATTTGAATAGCGCATCCTTTTAATGGGCCGTACGAATAAAAACTAAGCGATTGCCTTTTCTTAAAATTGTATACCTCCAATTTTGTTTGAATAAATTGAGTAAAAGGTCTGAAATTTCAAGAAAAAGCAATTGCTTATTTTTATTCATACAGCCCAATACTTAGTAGGTACAGTTTTCCTTTTGTTTGTTTAATATTCATTAACTTTTTATAAAAATATAGCATATTCTACGTCTACATCCCATTTAAAAAATTTTTGAAAATTAAAAAAAAATAAACATAGGGGCGACAATTTTTTTTTGTTGACGGTGCTGCGCATTTTCTTCCATATAAAAATTTTGTCAAGCATACTTTGTATGGTAGAAAATCAAAAAAAGGGTGCGCTATTCAAATGACGAAGAATGTATATATGTAGTATATTTTTGTTATTTTTATACTACGCAATTATATGTAGGTTAATTTTTTGAAAAATTGTCCTGCATTTTCGAAATATATTTATGGTCACCGTAGTTATACTATAAAATGACTTAGGTGTAAATACTCGCTTTTTCCCAATGTTTGGTGAGATTTTTTCATTGTTCGAAAAATTCTTTTCGCGAACGTATTTGCAAAGTCGCGCGCAAAGATCAAATTATATATTCGAAAACTACATAAAATTCTCTAAAATATTCGTCTAATTTCAAGACCTGACAGACCGGTACTCACACTTTTATTTACTAATAATCTTTAGCATCTGCATTTCAAAGTAAACTTTTTGGTAAGAAAATAGGAAAGTACCAAATAAATGATAACTACCTTCACCTAAATATTCCACGACATTTAAGTAATTGATTACAGTTGAAAAAGGAACACTTTCTTTAAGGGGTTAATCGCCACAGGCAACTAAACTGATTAGTCGGTATCGCGCCCATTCCCGTTTTTTTTTGGAAATGTATCGTTCGTGAAGAAGAGGGGTGAGTAAATAATGTAAAATTTGGTATTTTTGACTTTTACTTTTCCCTCTCTAAGTCCAACCTTTTTTTTATCAACTGTCACCATGCATTTTTTCTACCTGCCTCTATATAGTCGAAACACTGTGTGCTTTTATGAAAATATTTTCTTTTGATTGTATTCTTAAAAAAAAGTGACGGATTATCATACTCCCGGGATGCAATCAAACATGAATTTTTTTGAATCATTCTATCAAGTAAAAGTTCAATTTAAGCATTTCGAAGATAAGGGGTTTTAACCAAATTCTTTTGCAATTGCCGTCTAATATTGAGGAACTTTTTGTATTCCTGAAATAGATCCGGTTAAAATTCTTTTTTCAATTGAAAGTTTAATAGTTTGACTTATGTAGTATGAGTAATTGCTCGGAGAAAGGACCAGATAAGTGGTATTTTCTATACCTTGAAAATTGATTTTAAAAAATTTAACATAAAACATCTCTTTAGAGATATTTGATCACCAAAATTTAACTTTTGAAAATATTAAGAGTTCAATGAACCAAACTACGAATCAATTCTTTTTTCAAAACATGGTTGAAAAGTCATATTAGAAGTCATTTCAATCGGATGTACATATAAGCGATAAAAAAAGTACGACAGATTGGTGCTATTGTAATAAAACACGCATTGCTACCCATTGAACAGCTTTATAAGGAGCAGTAGAAGCGCGCAATAGGCATTTCTCGTCGTTCTGCCAAGATTAAAAAAAAATAATAATAAACCAGTAATCAAAATATTTTGTATCGGTAGTCTGAGGTAAAAACCCTTGTTGAGCAATATAAGCCCAAGGTATAGAAGGAAAGTGAACTCTTTTTTCAAAAAACTTTTTCTATCGGCAAAATCGAAAAATACAACCCTTGCCTCAGTAAGCGAATGCGATCATGCTGCGTCTGAAAAATTATCTTTTTCATTATTTTTAAGAAGGTAATTTATACACGCGGATTTTTCATTTAAATTCTGCGTGATAAATGTTGTAGTAACATGAAAGACCAACCCCCTTTAATTTAAGCTTCCAGATTTTATCTGCCTTTTAAACACAACTATGTATCTGTAAAAAAAATCCTCAAATACTTTCCAAAATTTTCTGTATGAAAGTTCAATTGCATGGGAGAGACCACGGAGCCTTTTCTAATATATGTACATATATTTTGAAATTTTCATCACTCCTACCATCCGCTCTCCAATTGCACCCACTTTTCTCCATGAATATGGAATTCATTTCACATACATATCTCCATAACAGTGTTGGCACTAATCGATTGATTTTTTAATCAATTAGTTATTCCGATTAAATTCAATCCGATTACAGTTGATCATGATTAATTTTTATCTGATTAAACAGTGAATCGTAACCGCGATTAAAAAAATTAATTTTTAATCACTAACCCTTAATTTGATTACGTATGTTTGGTGATTAATTAATACTGGAATTTTCCTGTGCTATGTGCCTGGGTATGGCTAAGTCGAGATTCCACTTCAGTCTAAGCAATTTGCTTTTAATATTCCTTTGCACATGTGCGCTAGGCTGTAAAAGTTCCCAGTTTATTTATTACTAATAACAATGATTATAATTTTTTTATATTATGTGCTTTTTATAAGCGTAAAACACAAAATAATTTCTATAACTGGTGTTTGGTTTCAAATTCGGACAAACTAGACAACTTTATCAGATTTTCTTTTTAATTGGATTAACGATTATAAAAATTTAATCATTAATCATACAGTTGATTACGATTAATTAGTTTTAATCATCAATCGCGATTAACATTTTAATCGTTAATTTTAAATACTTAATCAGATTAATATTTCGCCAACACTTCCAGATATATATGCAATGCGAAAATTTTAATTTGTGTGGAAGGTGCCACGCCTTGATGTGTGGAAATTATTTTCAGTCTATGACTATCTTAGGAAAGTTTGCAATAGGTGTGAAAGAATTGGTTCTCATCGGACAAAAAGTTTAGGACGGAGCTGCGGACATATGTACACACATACATACATAATTTGTATTTTATAGTTATATTTACTTATATAGATAAACATATTTCGTCAATATACGTCGTTTTGGTTCGGGAGCTAAGGGGGTGTTAATTAACCCCTGAAGGATGTTAGTTTAGGTCTGTCTATAACACTGGGGAACAAAAATTAACTTTTAAAAAACCTACAGTGCGCATATGTATATCAGCTCAAGTAGCACACTGGTGCATAAATTGGTGTAGATTTACGAATTTCGGTATAAATCTGATTAATTGCACCAAAATTCACAAATTTACACCAAGTTATACACCAGTGTGCTACTTGAGAGGTTTGATAGCTGATTGCCATATGAACAATGCCTCATACTAAGTTTTACTATGGAGATCAATTCACGTTCTCGAGAAAAACAAATTTTCATGTTCCAAAAATCTGAGTAAATCTGGTTCTGAAACTTTTTTCCTTGAGAAGACGAATTGATCTATTAAATCTGAGTATGAGGCATTGTTCGTATAACCAACAGCTATCAAACTAGATATATGCGCACTCTAGTTTTTTTTTGTGTCCCACAGTGTAATCGATCTACTTCACTTCTGGGCCTTAGCATTACTTAATCGGCTTTTTAAAGTGGAAGCATTGACTTCTGATTTACCTAAGAGATTAGATAGGCTTTTGTAGCATCTCAACAAAGGCTGTTGCTGCGCGCCACTAATAGATTGAAAAATAAAGCTTGATATTCGTTTGTCTCAGCCATCGTTCTACCACTAACTTCTAATCGATATAAAATGGAAGTGGGACCAACTTTTACAAATTCTGTGGTATTTATTCATATTTTGACCTCTTTTAATGAATGCAATTGGTCATTTCCATTACTTTTTGAGTGTTGTACTGTGTAATTCTTCAAGAAAATCCGAAAGAACCACGTATGCTTACAAGGCTTTTTACAGAATTGTTTCTGGAAATTGATAAATTCTCTAGTCTCATGTTTATGCATGAAAGTTGGATGGTCGGAGAATGAAAAACAACCCGCAGTTGTAAAAATTCGAATGCCTTTTCTGCCGCTAACTATTTTATCTGCCCACTTCAGCTACAAGTTTTTCTGGAAATTCAACAGGGAAGTTTATAAATTAGTTCTTCCTTTTCTCAAAGGTTATCGGAAACTCAGTCTCTACTATTCTTTCGCCATTTAGGTAACAGTTTAGCCTGTGATTGTTAATCAGTTTGTAGGAATACTTCGTATTTCCATTGTCTCTTTTACATGCATTCATTTTGCCACTAAAAGCTTTCACTTAATTAATTTTCCTCCCGTTCTACTCTGTCACTGATCAATATAATATGTTATTTCAGGCATCCGAACGTAAACTTCCGCCACCCATCAAACGCACACCATCGCCACGCGAACAACTCATGGACTCGATACGAAAAGGACAAACACTGAAGCACATACAACCGCCAACAACTCCACGACTCAAGGATCGATGTAAGTCAAAAACAATCAACTCAAAATAAATACGTACATACATATTATGAAGCCTAACAAACTATACAATAAACAAAACGCGCGCCTACTGACTTGGAATTCGACTACTTATTAAATATTTATATTTCCCAGGGATCGAGAACGCATTCCTGTTTTGGTTTAGTTCTGCACGAGAACAAAAGTTTTATGAACTTAACGTTAAGAATGAGAGAGGCGTCCGCGTGTTGGGATGAAAAATCGTTTCAGTGAGAACCACGATTGTTAATTCTAAGCCAGAAATAAGCTCGATCATCTAAACTTGCTGATCGTTTATCATTAGGGTGAACTATCCATTTATGGAACATTTTTTTCATTTTCTGTCGAAGAAAAGTTCGTGTCTTAAGTCTTTCGTTAACTTTGTGTTGACAATTATCTTTCAGTATTTTTTTTTTTATTAACTTGAATACCATTCTTCGCGAATAGTTCAGAGAAGACTTGTTCTCATTTAATTCTCTATGAGAATGTTCCTGAGATGTTAGTTCCCAAACTGTTCTTCGAGAGAAAGTTCGTTAGACTTTTGTTCACGCTTGTTTCTTTGCAAAAACGTCCCAGAGACTTTTGTTCCCATTTTGTTCTCTTATAAACGCTCTCGAAGGTATTGTTCGCGTTTATTTCTCGCGTTTATTTCCCTCACTTTTTTTCATCTAGATTTCCATAATTACTCATGCATATCGGTGAATTGCCTGCTTCTCCCTTCAATTTCACTGACGCTTGAAAGAAATTTCGTACATAGATTTTGAAGTGTCTTGACCAATGTTAAACTTGTTCAACCAGCATACAATGTGCCACTTGCTGTCAGCAGGCAAACAATTGTCCCAAGTTGCCATTTTGCCAACAGTATGTACCTCCGTACATCGTCGGCTTAAGGCTCTTTCAGCCATTTCGGTCACTTGCTATATGTTCGTTGCATCCAATTTGAATTACATTTGGCTATTTGGCGCGGCAAATCGTTTTCCAACAAATGCTGGCCTAAACTGCAACAACATGCAACGTTTAACAATTCAATGGTTGCGGTCGATCGGTTGCAAAGCATCACTGCGCATGTCAACCTGCAGCATTTCATTCTATGTACATTGCATATATTCTATTCTATTGCACGGTTGAAACTATTTAGAATTTTTTACATTTTTACATTTGTATGTGCATTTCTATGTGTGTGTATGTATGTATGTAGATACACATGTTTGTCTACTATTGACCGCTGATGAAGCTGCCACAAAATGGCACGATTGGCGGCACCATATATGGTCAATGTTTAGCATGATTTAGAATTGCAAAGTGGCATGGATGCGCGCACCGCTTTGATCAGCCAAACGGCGCTGCTGTGCGATTTGTCAGCTGACAAAACAGTGTGGCAAGTGAAGGATTTACTACACTGATCTTTCTTTGGAATGGCAAACGAAATGTCTAAAATTTGCATAATATACAAATTTATTGGAACCCTATGAGGCTTTGGGGATTCAGGGAATACGAGAAGAAGGATAGAATGCGCCAGTGAAAAACTTCGTATGTAATACGGAAGAATAGGCACATAGTTGAAATTTGTGTACACAGGCGAAACATACAATTATTTTTGAATCGAAAATTAACTTTGGTGCTTTTAAAAAATGTTAAGTTTGTCATCAAAATTATTGGAAATCAGCCATAATGCTTGTTAACTTTAGGTGTATATGTATATCTCAGTAGTAATGCTATACTTTTCAAAAAATGTATCGAAACTTAGGAATTAAAAAGTTTACAAAATTTTTGCATGCATTTGTTTTAATAAATAGCATATAAACCAACAATAAGATCCATAAAAGTATCGATAACATAATATAAAGAAACTTTAAACACAACATTATCTATTCTTAACAGCAATTATATCGATAAATATATGTATATGCATTCCCTATACATGATGGTGGTCCAAAACTGCACTTAAAAAAATAAGGTCGGAATTTCAATGCTCACACCCCTTAGGATTGTTCAACATCGAAACAACATACCCCAGTTTTTTCTATTTCGAAATAAAAAAAATAATAAATTTAGAGGTCCTTCAAAGCGCTCAAAGTTGTCCATGTGGGGAAAAAGCAAGTTATTTGTGGAAATGGCATACTTTTTTTTGAACCACCCTGATGAACATACGCAAAGTTTTTTTAGTTAGTGTCTTTGAAGTCCTTAATAACCACAAAAACTCTGGCAGCGCTTTTCGAAGTATTTTTCAAGCTTTCTCAGAAACAAAATGCCTGAGATTTGTATTCTGCATATCTGCTGCGTTGAATGGCTTGCCACAAATGCACCAATGCAAATATAAAAATTACTTCATTGGCATTTTATTGTGACACAGCACTTTGCTTCTCGCTCAAATACCCAATCGACTCAGTGCAAAGTATGTTGAACTATGTATGTACATACATGCATACATACATACGTATTCGTTGGGAAATTGCCAGTATCCGGAAATGCTTATCCGTCGTTGACATCAGCATTGTTGCATGCAATCATAGTGCAAGTAGCAGCAACACCACGACAGCCATGGCCTAAGTCGCGGCCACAGTCAAGGCAACATCTGCATCTCATAGTAGCAGCCACCAAAATCCATTGTTCTGCCAACCGCCTGCAGCTTACCTAATGCTCACTAGCATAACGGAAGATTTGCTGTAGGAATTTAAATTGAGCTTAAATGCATCCTAATTGACGTTATACGTAAACGGTGCTTGTTCTCTAATTTGTTAATGCTGCAGGGTGGTGTCGTAGTGTGGCACGAACATACCATACATGCATGTATGCCTATCGTAAATTGATAAGATGCCAGTAAAGGCTGATTTTTCCTTTGCATACTTTTAGGAGTTCTACAAGAGCTTTATGCAGCGTTTTTGCTGCATTTAAAATGCAACATTTAGCACTTTCGAACATATGTTTTCGAAGAGCGTTCATGCTATAGCATTTAGCAAATGTACATTTACGCGAGTTCGAAATCGTATGCTTTTGACAAACAGCCGTGTTCCAGTCTCTTATTTAGATGCGTATATCTTACGATCAATTCTCACGCAGAAGATAATGTGCAAAAACCCTACTGAAAAGGAAAAAATTAATTTTAAACCAAAAATTCAATACAAAAACTTTAATTGTTTTAACCATAACCGAACATTTGTTTGTGTATATATTCATTTGTCGGTGCTGTCAATTAAAATTTCTTCACTTAATTAGGAAACAAACCAAACTGAGTTGATCACAAATTGATCCAGATTTCTATCAGCATCAAATCGATGTTGAATTTGCTTAACTTTTCTTTATCCAAATATGTAATGCAAAATAAAAGAAATCTCGATCGGCGATCACTGAAACGCAGCTAGCAACTGTATACTCGAAAAAGCAATGTTGCCACTTTTTCTCTTTAAACCATGTTCGAATCGTGGAAATTTTGAAAGATCACAGGGTTGCTTTTAGCATTTAGATTCTTAATGCAAAAATGGAGTTGCATTTAGTTGCATTTAGGTGACGAATTTTGTATGGATAAATGTACATTTAGAGTAGCATTTAGAGCTAAATGCGCTAAATGTGCTTTTACGCGTAAGCAAAAACAGCCCATTACGCTTCTAAGCTGCGCTGAGTGTACATATCACTAAAGATGTAGGTATGTGGCAGTAATTTACTTTTTTACTCTACGGCCCAGTGCTGCTTCAATTGTCGATTGAAAGCTTTTGAGTAAAGCTTTAAAAAGCTCAATGTTTCTCTTTTAAAACTTTGTAACAATATTATCATGTGCAAGCACTTACACACACATTTTAAATGCTTATGCTTGTATTTCAAATTACAAGTTGCCTCTTTTACATGTGATAACAACTTGCCATTGTCATTTCCTGATGGCCACAATAGAAGCATCGCTTTTCAAGCTAACGCGCGGCACAGTTATCGGTATCGAAAAATTTCAAAGTGGTGCAATTTGTGTTTGGATTTAAATATTAATAATTTTCGAAAAAGACCGTTGTATAAACTGACTATAATACACTGCATATAATACATATCGTCACCTGATATACAAAAAGACGTAACTAACATCATCGTTGAAATGCATAAAGTAATAACTAATAAAAAAATTCAAAATTCGCTTTTTGATATATAAAATGGATTTCATCGAATTACAACTCCCCACATCATTTCATGAAAAAAAAAATTAAAATATTAGTCACGGCTTTTTCCATTTAATTTACGATGTTGTGACGTCTGTTTGCATTTCAGATGACGATATGTAGAAAAGATAAAGTGAATGGAAGTGAAAAGTGTTAGAGCTGCATTCTTGCAATTACTCGTTGCTTTAAAAAAAATGTAAATTACTAGAGCTGTTTATGAAATTCAAATATTATTTTGGGCATCAATTATTTATACAGTGGTATAATATATATATTTTAGGAAGGTCGGCAAATAAAAATTTTTAAGGTAATAACTGTGTTTATTTTGGTTAAGTTTTGTTATATAAAGCGTGTCTCTTAAATTTTTTATTAAAAAACCCAATAGAAATGTTCTATCTTTTGGTGGTATTACCGACTTCCAGTTTCGATAGAAGATGGGTTAAACTGACCGAAAGTGAATTTTTTTTTTAATTAAACATACACGTTTTTAGTAGAGAATCAGATTCTGAGCATAAATATACGTAACTTTTGTTTGAAACTTTTTTCTAGGAAATTTCTTTTTTGACCTTCGAAATTCCACCCATCTTGGACTTTTCAAATGAGTAAAAATGTTTTTATTGGAAATCGAAAAATGTGGATTACCAATCAAGGATGCTCTATCTTTTGGTCGTATTACCGACTTATTACATAAACTCACAAAATTCTCTTTTCAATCGTCATAAAAATAATAATTTTTAATTTTTATTTTTTGTTGCTCAAAGATAATTAATATTGAGTTTTATGTTTTCACTTAAGAATAATGATAATTCAAACAAGTAAGAAAGTCTAAGTTCGGGCGGAGCCGAA